GGTGGCCCCGCGGTGACATTGAGGCCGGTGCTGAGCGGGTGTTGCCGGCGCTGCCCGCCGCGCTGGGCACAGGCAGCCCTGCCTGCTCGGCCCTGTCCCCCGGCCTGCGCGGCGGAGACACGTCGGGTGGGAGGCTCGTCTCCCTCTCCCTTCGCTCCCTTTCCGCTCCCGCAGGAGATGCTGCCGTGTACTGTGCTCTGACAGCTGCGCTGTTTGCCTCAGTGTCTGGTAGCACCCCAAACCGGTCTTTTCTGCCAACTCTGCAGTCCCGAAGTTGTAATCTTTGTGGGTGGAGGGGAGACTGGGCTTTGTATCCTTTGCTAAGGAAGGCGTTAATCTCAGTTCTGATCGCTTCTGGATTTGTTGCCTGAATTTATCCTTACCGGTATCTCAAAACGTGCTATATGCCCTGCAAGGAGTATTGTTTCTATAGACTGAGCTGCACAGATGGTAGGTCGCTTCTTATGTCTTAGCAGGGGAGTTTGCCCTGCTGGGCCGTGGTTCTCCACCTTCCTTATCTATAGGCAACAAGGAGCGAGCAAGTTAACCCTTTATTGGGTATCGTTGTCAGGTTTTTGGTCTCAGCTTCGCCTCTAATCTTCTGCATATATAAACCCTATGAGAAGGTTATGTTAAGAAGGATTTGGGAGCTGACCCTGTGTTTAGGAAGGTGCTGCCCAAAGGATTTGTTTGAAGTGATCCAGTGTTAACACCTACGGCTCTGGCTTATCTCCAACCTAGAATCCTAAACTGCCAAGTGATCTTCATGCCCAAGCCCCCTTTTTATTTCACCTTTTCTTTGAAATTTTCTATTAGTGTTTGCCCCACGAGCAGTGGGGCACAGTGAAATTCAGCATGTTTTAACAAATGCCTTAGTAGAAATTAAGCCTGTCAAGCTGCCTAGTGCTCTACTTCTTTCCTGTGGTGCTTGCATCCTCATGATGCTTTCAGTGCCTTTAGTGCTCTTGTCATTCTTGTTTCTACAAGGGTCAGCCTGTCTGCAGCTGAACTACTTCTGTTCCTATTTTTGCTGAAGTTTTATTTTTCTGTGGCATTTGAGTGGATGGCAAAACTTGATCAGTGTTTTTAGGTTTGAGTTTTGGATGAAGGTTTGGGAAATTGTATCTTGCATGGGTGTTGAACATACACTTTCTGAAGATTGGACTCTTATTAGGATTCTGATAAGTACAAAAAAATTACTCATGATTCATTAAAAAAATTTAAAGTACTTAATGCTTCAAGATTTATTTGGGGCTACTGATTAGGAAACCTGTAGGGCTATCAAATTTCTTGACAGAGTGAGTGTGGATAACAGAGAATAAGAAACATAACCTGCAAACCCGTCTTGCTAAATGCCTTCCTGTTTCACCTGTGCTAGATAAATTTAAGCTTGGAAGAATTTGAGAACTGACCTTTCTATAGTCAAAGCCTAAATGAATTTTGTTACAGTTCTTGTCTAAAGCTACTGACTGGCAGAAGGGTGCTGGTTTACAGACAGCTTCTGACATCTGTTAGTGTAGTGGTGTTTTGTTTACATTAGTAGCCAAGAATTGCATCCATACCTTAAAATGCTGGTAGTGTGGTAATTGTCATGTCATGGTAAGACTTATATTTTGAACCTGTAAAGGAGTGTATGTGCAAGAGCTCTATGTTACTTGTCTGTACTTATCAGTTGATCTGAGAAAAGATACTATTTCTATATTTCTCTCAAAATGCATGTGTCTGTCTAAAACTTACATGCACTTGATGTTCTCTCAGAACCATGTTTTCACGTTCAGAGCTTCAGGATTGATTTACTGTTTGCACGAAATAGTGAAGTTGATACTGTAGCTGAAAATTGTTTATATCCAGGAAGGCACTGAAGAAACTGGATCCGTGATGGTTGAGAGCGCTATGCTGACTTAGTAGGCTAGTGAGACTTAATACAGCTGTAGAAAAAAGTACTCTGATTTTAACTGTATGTTTAGACAGTAAGAAAATGGCAAGATTTTCACAAAGAGCTTTATTTAGGGCAATTGAGAAACATACCTGTTAGTTTTGAGCTTGAGTGTTGTCCTTTGTGGGAATTACTTGAATCTTTTTCCACCTGCAGACCCCTTTGCTGATGCAACAAAGGGTGACGACTTACTCCCGGCGGGGACTGAGGATTACATTCATATAAGGATCCAGCAACGAAACGGAAGAAAGACACTAACAACTGTTCAGGGAATTGCAGATGATTATGACAAGAAGAAACTTGTGAAAGCTTTCAAAAAGGTAAAGTTGCTGATTTGATAGAAAAGATGGTCTATAAAGGAGTTTGATAGCTTTTAATGCTAAGTTACAGAATATTTGTTTTATTTCATTCTTGCCAGTGCACATCATTTTCATACTCAGGTTGATTCCTTTCCCTGTCTTTCTCAAAATTCCTATCAGTATCTAGTGACAGTGATTTTTGCTAAAAAGTTCATTGTTTCTTTCCTGTAAAGGAATTTAATGAATGATTCATTAAAATTTCACAGATACCTTGCTTTGTTAATGTGAAGAATAAAATCAGTTTAAAGTAGAATTGTTTTTGCATTCCTGCTTCTGTCATAGCTGGGTTGTTGTTGAAAATAGAGATACTGAGTTTTGCCAGGATGAAAATATTTATTTTAAAATAGCATGGTGTTGAAAGGCTCTATCTTATGACTTTGTTTTCCATTCTTGCAATGAGTGTTGACCAGTTCCTTCTGCACAATAGCTGTCTTTGCCTGAATTTACCATCAGCAGCTTAGTTTGTGTCTCTATGCATCAGCAGATATATTCCATTTGCTCTCAAAACCAGTGTAAAATAGATCTAGCCATTGCCTTGCTTGGCATTACAATTTAGTAAGCAGTTTCTGTGACAAAATTCTGCTGAAAAGACTTACTGAGCAAAATCATAATGTACATCAGATGTCTTACAATGTGATGAATGTTTCTCTCTAGAAATTTGCTTGTAATGGTACTGTGATCGAACATCCTGAGTACGGTGAAGTTATCCAGCTTCAAGGTGACCAGAGGAAGAACATTTGCCAATTCCTCTTGGAGGTGAGGGTCTGCACATAAATATCTAAACCTCTCTGGAAGCAGTAGAGTGACAGGTGGCACTGATGTTCATTAACCAGCTGAAGATGTCCACTGTAGTTCCTTTGTATTTTCTGCCAAAAAGTAAAATGACACTTGCAGAATGAGAGTAAACGTCCGGTAAGAATCAAAGCACTGTGGAATGCATTTACCCTGATACAACACACCACTTGTTCTCTGGCAGTGCAACTAGAGTTACTCATTTGTAAAATCGAGTGCTTGATGTAAGCCATAATTTTGAGACTATAGAGGAAAGAGGCTTACTGATGCAAATCATGATGCAGAGATGTTACACTGTCAAAGAGTAAGTGCTAGGACCACAGAATAAGTCAGATGTCTGATAAGATTTTCTTTTTTGTGTAAATTATTCTGCTTGGCCCACAGACATTCTAGAAAGTAGAAAATACTTTACTGAGTATGTTACTGTATTGCCGTCTGTTTAATCAAAGCCTAAGTTTATGGGAACTTGATATCACTGTAATATGCCTAGCATGTAAGCTTTACTGAAACATGTTACTTTTCTCCTTTAGATTGGCATTGTCAAGGAAGAACAACTGAAAGTTCATGGTTTCTAAAATACCTGTACTCTCATGAAGAATCCTTCATTATTTGGTCTTACCTAGCCTGGCTCTCCTGTGAAAAATGAATCTTTGCAGTGAATGGACTTCCCTGTTGCCTGAACATGTACAATTTGATTCAGATTTGCATGCCTGCGTGAAACATGTGGTGTGTAGACTAGAAACACATAAGAAAACTTCAGTAAGGTGGTAATGAAGACACGTGTGAACTTTTAACACATTTCCAATGGAAATGTTTTAGTGGTGATTGTTCAGTTTAGTACTCTCCACCTGACTTAAATGTGTGGGTTGTATTAAAATAGTGTGTGTTGTTGCTTAAAAATAAAAGTTTATCCGTATATTTTCTGGGACATCTGAAATGCTTTAGCTTAAGTTTTAAACTGTCATAGCAGCCTTACTAAAGAACGGCTAAACTTTTGTGGCAGGTGTACCTCACTGCTGATTGAAAAAACTGGAAAATCTACATCATGAAGTATTAGCTAATTAATCAGTAGATTAGCTTGATGTGATCTTACCCTGTAGCTGTAAGACTAGAGCTTTAAAGTCTTTTGTGTAGGTGTGTCTTAGTAGCAGCATCATAAGACATAAATTGTTTGCTGAGTAAGTAACTGGATCTTCTCTAAAATTTACTGCAGTGACTATGAAGTATTAGCGTTAAGCATAGTAGGACTAAAATAAGCTGAACTGCTGGAGGCTGCTGTTACTGAGACCATGCCAAACATTTAGGTCTTACATAGTACCCCCAAAACATTTGAAGGAAGTGCATGGGATTTTGTATCTCTTCTGTCACCGCGTGAAGGGGAAAGACACTGAGTTGGCTTCCGCTATGACGGTGCATTTAATGTTGGCAAGCAGAGTGCTTTAATTAGCTGGTAGTGTTAGCTGCAAAAGTGAGGATGGAAACAGGCTCTACGCTAACCTTTTTCTTTCCTGGTATAGAAAGTTTTGCTGTGATTAACAGTTAATATGGCAGGATTTGTAGTGCGGTTTGGGTGATACTACAGAAAGCTGATTTAATCTACTTTTCTAACAGACAATTCATTCAGTGTTATCTGAAGTTGTAATAGTTAAAATAGGTTTGTTCCATCACGTTTTTTCATCTAGTTTTAGTTAGCTGTAGACAATTGGTATTCTACTTTTAAGACAGATCTCTTTACAGAATGAAATTACTTCATTTGGTGAAAAAAGCCGATCTTATCTTGTGAGATAGACATGGGAATTTTCTCTGAAACAATTTAAAACATGCTGAGATGGGAAACAATAAGAATAGTTGTAAATGTTAAAAAAACTTATGGTAATGTATTCTCTGGAAAGGAAGAAAGAGACATTTCTTTGCTGCTAAGACTTACTAATAACTAATTCAGAAAAAAAAAATCTTAAGTAAATATCAAGAATAGGCAAACCTATATTACTTAATATCACCTATGCCTATACTTGGTTTCCTGTTCAGACTACTTTTTAAACAGAAATGCTCAATTTAACTCATTTGAATCGTTTTGGGGGGGCAGGGGGAGGAAATTCTGAATTCAGACATGAACCTTTATGGCACTAGCAACAATGAGGGGAGCACTCTAGAGCATTCATATGACAATTTCTTTCTCTTGTCTGATCTAGACAATTCCACCTGTAAGAATCCAGTGTCCAGTCTCTCACTCTCCACAAATTCTGCCTGGTGTTACAGATCTTAACTGCTCCAGAGAAAGGACATTGCAAAAGATTGTATATTGTTAAGGTATAATGTGTTCAAGAGGAGGAGGAGGGAATGCCTGCTGCAAAACATGAAATACCAGCACACAGAATGAAAATCCAAAGAATAAGTGTTATGCAAGCCTTGCACACAGCAGAATAAAATTCTTGTACTGCAAGTTTACCTAGTCCTGTTTCATAGATGATAAAGTAATTAATTCTTTGTGGGGGGAGGTACATAGCACTTAGTGATATTCATTTTATCAAATGCCAGAAAACCTGACGTTCTCATTTAAAGCTTGTTCTCCTGCCCAAGAGGAAAACCAAGCAGTATTCTCTCCTGTTTCACTGGTATTACTTGAGTACTTCTAGTGGTTCTTGAATTGGAGATTAACAAATGATTAGCAAGTCTCATGTGTTACTGAGTCAGTCTTCATTTCAGAAGGCATTCCATTAACTTTTACTACCTAAGCATGAGTCATGCCTCCATAGTCATTCTGCTTGGAATAAGTAAGAAAAACTTTGTTTTCTTCCTCCTCATTTAAAAGTAATTTCTGATAGAAGGAACCTTGCAGTTGATAGGTGTCAGGTTATATGCTCTAGTGGAGCTGCTTGTGTTTTGGCCTTTGAAGGGCAAGATTAAAAGGAGAGGGAATAAGAAGTAAATGCATTTGCAGTTCAAATAGATGAGATTTGTTGTGGCAACAAACAATCTTTCTAGAAGGAAAGAAGAAATTTTTGTCCTTGAAGTGTTTTAAACTATAACCATGTCTGGATAAGATTGTAACTAGCCATGCTACAAGCCCAATCTTCTTTGCATGTTCTAGAGGAAAGGCTTAACTATTTCATGGTTTATCATCTTATGCTGAAACTTCTTTGTCAAAGCTCAGCCTGTTTGGGATATATATCTGTGTTTCAAGAATGCTGAAAAACATGGAAGACTTTGGGAAAGAACTTAAAATTACTGCCTTAAAAACCTGTTTTCACAGTGAAGGCCAGGTTTCAATCTTTCCATCTACTCCAAAATAGATCAAAAATTGGTAAAGGATGTGGCCCATGATTGTCGAGGCAGTAAAAGAGAGCTAAAAATAAAAAACACTTTAAAAAACCTCTAGTAGGACTTGAGACTGGAAAGAGTGGTAGCTTCTTTTTGTTGGAATATTGTGAAGTCTGTGTCCATTAGATCTCCAAATCAAGGTTGCAACCTTAGTGATACCAAAGCTTAATAACAAGCTGCAACTGGATGTAGGAACTGCTGTTTAAAATTCAGGGTCTTGCTGTGCATGGTTATATTGAACTGTTGCAGCTGACATTTACCTGATACACTGGAGTAAGGTGTTGCATGAATTGATTGCCTGTTCAGAACTTACATCTACCTAGTGCCGCTATGAACAGTGAAACCATCGCTTCCCAAATGGTAGTAGCAGTCCTTGTTTGTAGAAGGTGAGATCTAGTAATTTAAGTTTGTAAGCTGCCTACTTCTTCTTGTGTGAATTATAAGGCCCTTGACCTTCATGTGTGGTCTGCTAAATCTGACCATGTGTTTCAGAGGTGAGCATGAAAAGCACAACTATGGGCAGATGAGCAGTAATTTTTTCAAGTGAAAGAACCTCTGAAAAGAATAGTGCCTACATTGTGTGTGCATACTGTTCATTGGTGTTTTGCTTAAATCTTACTTCTTGCACAGCCTAAGTGGAGAGCATATTGTTCTGGAGAACTTTTTTGGAGAGGGAGGAGGGAACCCCACAAAAAAAATCACCTTAAGAAATTAGTTTATATCTTAAGTCTGTTTTCATTAACTTACATTGTTCTGGACTGCAAGACCTCTATAATGTTATTTTTGTTTCTGAATCTTTAAAAACCCTAATTAAAGTTCCTTGAGAGTTTGGCATTTAAGGTTCTAAATATATCTAAAGCCATTATAAAATTTAAAATTGTGAAGAGTTGTTGAAGCTTAAGGTTTAAATATTTGAAAAAATAATAATTAAGCAGAGCTCTGCACTTTGTCCTATGCTGCTGTCCTGTTTATTATAATCAGTATGTAGTTACCCTGAAGATGCAGACGTATTTACAGACTTGCCAGTAAGTGGATATCCTTGCTGTAGTGTGATACCCTGTTTGTAGTTTTTGTAAGATCTTATCTAATGTTCTGCACTGTTACAGGCTGTACTACTCTAATTTTACAGTACAGGACAGATGTACCTTGAGCTCCAGTCAGCAGTTATCTTATCCTTAATTCTCCTGGAAGGCTCAAGTGTACAGGATCCATGTGTTACACCCTTGTTTAAAGTGACTTGGTAGTTCTTCTTACTATATGAAAGTATGTACAGCATTGGTATTTAGCCAGTTAAAGAACAAGGGAGGCCTTTTTATGGATGACGTTGGAACACAGTAGGGGTTGCTGTCTTTTTTGGTGTGTTCAGTGCTGATTAGCATCACTGAGTGTTGCTCTAGCATGCTCCTGCCACTGGGGAAATGGAAGTGGTCTTAGAGGATCATGTGTATTTAAGTATTAAGAACCTGCCTTCCTCCTAAGACTCTCCATTCATCCATACTCAGTTTAATTAAGACTTGTCCCCCATGCATGGCAACATGAAGGTTATTTTCCAGTTGCTAGATCAGAAGTTCTTGGGATGAATAAAAGAAAACCAACATAGTTGGTTTATGTTTGCTGTACAGATGTTTAATGCCTACTGTTTCCAGTTTACATTAAAAAAAGAAAGTCTCAAAAGATGATTTGTACGTGGCATGCCTTTTTAATGTTTGCTACGTGCCTGTGATTGATCTCTTTATGAACCTGTATTGGAGTATCGATAGAGAGCTGAGACAACAAAGTCTTTTGAAATAAAATGTACCAATGCTATTTTATGTATGCTTTTCTAAGACAAATGGAATTTTATGCTTTTACTAAGGCGAATTTTTTTTTGGTGGAAGATTGAAGTAGTGTAATTTAATAGTGATGTATGTGATCCTCTTTTAATCAGCTTTGATTTCTTCAAGAAATGTTATTTCCTCTTAAACTTCTACCATAATCTGTACTAACCTACTTAAAAATATTGTGACTTGTACTGGGATATCGTAGCTCTAAAACAAGATTGACTTGCGGTCTAAAACTTTGGATAGAAGAGGACTATCTGATTTCTTGAATAACCAAAATACACAGTTTTTTAAGATGAAGCCAGTAACACGTGCTCAAGTTTGGTCTTAGCTATTTTAGAATGTCTTGCATCTGTGAAATGTGACAGCGCATTTCTGAAATTAATTTGGGGTTTGATTAAAAGTACTTGTATATATAATAAACGCTTTTTTTCCATTTTAAGCCATCTTTGCTATGATTATGCAGAAAAAAAAAACATTATCCAGGCTCAGTTCTCCAAGTTATGAGTAGCTGATTTCAGCAGACATGGTTGCAAGCAGAAGGGTCATGCTCCTCAAAGACAGGATTTAGCTGTCAGCTGTGTTTGTGGTGTTTTGCAATCGGAAAGGGAAATGGTGCTGTTCCTGCAGTACAGACAAACAAACCTTGGGTATCATGATGGGACAGCTAACCCCAATGAAGGGGGTAGTGCCGCAGTTGTTTCGGCAGCTGTCCTGCAAATGAACTAGAAAGTTGCTCATTAGGTAGGTAGACCCAGCAAATGACTTAAATGCATTGATGTGCAATTGGAGAATAGTTATGGGGTAAGAAATGTTAGAAGTGGTCTATTCCCAAGACCATGCTGGAAAAATTTACTGAAGAGCAGGCCCTGTTGCAGAGGAAGCAGCTTTTAGCTACTCTCCACCAGGGGAAGGTACTCGTGTGATGGTGGTACCTTCAGATGCATGATGGACTACACCTCAATAAACAGACCGAACAGACATCGGGGGTATCAACTCACCTGTACTGGGTAACACTGGTGAAAGACAGCCCTGCAAACTGATACTTGTCAGTGTCTTTGAGTTACACCTGTAACTCAAAGCCCAGATCAGGATGTGGACTTGAAGATTGAGAACAAAATTGCTGTCCAGGTTCCTCTGGTAAATAGTAACCTGTAAATTAATTGATTCATTATTCAAGATAATTTCTATGAGTGAGAATTCAGTATGAATAGGGAATATCAAAAGAAGAATGTTTTCCTTCCTTCCTTATCTTTCTTTAGGTAAGATTATGCAGTGCGGTGGCATGGAGAAATTTCCTGATTGTCCAGTAGTGGTTTTACTTCTTAAATACTGCGAACAGTGCTCTGAAGGTACCTGGGCCTGGAGCCCGTACCCATCATTGCCTCGCCCTGCATGCTAGGCTGGTTTTAAAGGGCACTGAGGGGAAGAATGTCTCTTGGGGTCATCCGATTTTTTCCTTTCTCCTGTTAGAAGTCAATTCCAGTACTGGCTTAAGTCACACTGGACTAGATCATCCTTCATTAACGCTATGGAAGATAAAAAAGGATTTCTGCAGAGGGTGAGAGGGAGGGAGATATCTGCCTCTTACTTCTCATAGAGCATTGCAGGGCCCTTCAGGTTGTCACCACTGGAAGTCAGGCTGGGCACAACAGTATGTGCTGCCTCGTGGGGATTTCCAGGTCTTGGCTGGTTCTCGTGGCAGTTCAGGACGATATCCAGGTGGGTGTCTGGCAGTAAATTCAAAGTACCAGAGCACTCTGGTCATGGATGTGATCTGACCACGCAGAAATGGACATGTACTGTGGGTCTGTCCCTACAGTCCTTTAATTACTTTTTGTCTGCCTGATAAAAGCAGTGTCCTAAAAACTTAAGGGCAGTACCTCTGAACAGGGAAAATTGGTGGTTATCTGCTGTGGAGATTTACAGGGAAGAAAACCAAGCAAACCTGTAAAGTTCTAGAAATCATCAAGGCCAACATTCAGAAGACAACAAATGAGCATCTGAAGGCACAATTTTTTATACAAAAGCAAGAGCACCCTGTTGCTAGCAGCTGCGTATTACTGGATGAGGCTGCAGGCAGTAGGGATGCAAAGGAAACGTGCTTAAATGGCAGTACCCCTTCTATAGCTGTCTTGAGGCTCTACAGACTGTTACGCAAAGAGGGTGGTAATGTGTTCCTTGGAAATTTTTGTGTCTAGCCTGTATTCTGTTTGCTCAATTCACTCCCTCTCCCCAGTCACAATTACAGGAGGTTAATCTCCTATTAGTTTCTAGTATCTTATTAGCTGTCTCAGTTTGATTTGGGACTACTAATATTCATGCAGTTAAGGTATGTTTTCAGGAGGAAGGCATTAGGGATGCTTTGAAAGGAAAGCTTAGCTGAAACAACTGAATATAAGGAGACAATGTGAGAATCTTCCAAGTGCATGACTTGGGTGTTCTGTTTCTGCAAAGAAGCCATTAGAATGGAAGCCTGTCTTATGTCACCTTAAGAGGCATTTCCTGCCCAGAAGAGTTCTTGCTGCACTTATTTCAGTGCCCTAAATCAGCCCTGAAGCAGTGCTTTCTCCCAGGTCACCGTGTGGAAGGCACGGCGTGGGCTGCATGAGCTTTCAGAAAGCCTGCTGCAACAGGCTCCACTCATGAGCACCAGGAACATGCCAGTTGAGCGGTAGCGCCCCAGGATGGGCTGATGGCTCTGGCTGCTGAGCAGCACTGCTGTGTGATTGGAACAGCAGAGGTGGCAAAAATGGAAACAAAAGGTTTGTCTTCCAATTTCTACTTTCTGTATTAGTTTAGTAATCTGACAAAATAGCTTCTGGGAGCAAAGGGATGGATGTTTTTCCAGTTCCTTCGCAGATACGTATCGAGAGAAATTGCCCTGAAGTTAATACAGTTGGGCAGACCATATTTTCAGGATCCCATCTTGTAGTGCTGATACTGTCAAAGCATCAGTGAGTTATTTTTCAAAAGTTTACCTGACCTTTACATTTGGACAGAGTTTTTACTGTTCACTGAATGTTGGGCCTCAGCTGGCACAGCACCATCTGATCAGTCCAAAAGAGTTTGAAAAACCACCAGCTTGTGTTGGTCCCCACGTGCTCCAGCCTGTTTTGCCATGTGAGCCACTTTAAATACTTTGGACATACAAGCCCCTGATAGATGTATAAGCACTACTCTTGATGTCTTTCTTCTCCTGAGAGTATGGTCCATGTTTCCTCCTGCCATCAGAGACATGTATTTTTTGGGGTTCTCCAAAGGTCCAGGCATGAATTCGCACAGGATTCTTTTGTTCTCATGGGTTGTGAAGAGCTAGGAAGTCTAAATTTACACGAGAAAATACAGAGCAGATGTAGATCGTACAGTCACACAAAGTCTGTTTCGAAAGAGCTAGCATTTCTGCATCTTCCATGTCCTGTATTACACAGACACATAGTGCATTTCATATCTAATCCTGCTTGGCTGTCCCTAGCTATGCTCTGGGGGAAGCCTGCCTGCTCCAGTAAAGAAATGAAGGCACAGTAGGAAGACTTGCTGCTGCTTTGGCTTTATTCCTACAGGAACAAGCTGTTCAGCACCGCAGACTCAGTCTGATATCAAGCCGGGCTACAGAGCAGTCTGGATGAAGCCACTGTCCCTTCTGCTCTACTGCCTCCATCCCCTGGTTGTGTCTTGCCCTGCAGGTAAGATCTCCAGGTCAGGGCCCATATCATTGTTCTGTGTAGGTGAAACACCAAGCACTGTGACTTTGATTTGTGACCAGAGGAGTGACACATAAAATAAGGAGTAAATTAGTAGCAGTTGCAATGAGTAAATAGTAGATCCAGCTACACAAAGCAACATGCTTACTCTTTGGACCTCAAAGTG